GAGATCTGCTGGTTCTTTTTTAACTTATCTGCATTCAGAATCTCCAGTGTTGTACACTTGATACATAAAGTGATATTAGATTATGTTTTTTGTAATAAGCTTTTGAGTAATCATTAAGACGTATCACATTGAATATATGCTTGTTCGCGAGTTTACCCTTACGTACAAGCCGAAGTACTACCATCTAAATCTACTTTATTGCCTTCCATATTACTGTTAGAGGAAAGGATGCTGTGTTTATTTGAATAACGGTTAATAAATATTATAAATACTAGATGTTTTTACTGACCATCAGTTGCCTAATATTTATATTTGAATGGGCACAGAAATTAACGCGCACATTGCCAATTGACCCAGTGATATATACTACTATGCAAGTCTACTTCAGTTTCCATCTAGTTCACTTTGCAATATCTTGGATAGAAAATATAGTGAAAATGTATGCTAATGCTTATTGGAATAATTGATTGTAGCTTAATCTAGATGCGTGCGAGAGACTGAAAAACATATTCTTCCAGGACGTTCCTCTGAGTTTTATAGCGTGAAGCCCATTTCTGGTGTCCCCTGCCGTTATGTTGCTGGAATATTGCTAAAAGCGGCGTAAAACCAAACTCAGTCAGTCAGTCTGAGCTTTATAACAGTGAGGTGTCTTATGGGGGTATAGGGACTGCAATTACGATATCTTCACGGGCGCAGCGTTCCTATCGCTATATACGAGGCATATACCTAATATACGCGGAACAAGAGACAGAACCTTTCAACCGATACCTGTCATATTTGCAATAATATTATATCGCGTAGACAGCGAGACAAGCCTCTTTTCTTTTATTGGCGCAGGAACATCTCCAACTGCTTGTCAGCCTTCTTAACTTATTGCATTGCTTCTTAGAGCACAGTTTGTCTAAGAAGTCACCATATTCCTGCGATTTGGCCCTTATAATCACAGAAATCCTGCCACAAATATCGCCATCCAATTAACCATTGAAAGGCTTCATCCGCTGAATGAAAGACATGGCGTCAGATGCCTATTGGAACTGTACCTTTGTCGTGGTCATAACCTGTTCGGCTCTTACTGTCACGTCTTTGATCTTGAGTAGTAAAACCAATATTGGCTAAAGTCACTTTGGAAAGATGGAAAGGCGATATCTGATGGAGATAATAAACGAGGCATTAACACCAAGACTTTGCCTGGACAATTTGTGCTTCTATCACTGCATACAGAGCCCATCAATGGGATTCAGCAATATTTCCTTATCGCAGATTTTCAAGAAGAACACTGGGAGTCATATGCTTTGAAATTGGCTTAAACGACCACTGCCAAATATGTCGAACATGATTTATGGCTGTGCGGCTTGTATGGGTGCACGGAGTGTATAATATTCATGTTGAGAACTCGTACATCTGAACTGACATGCAGAGAATGCATTTCTTGTGGCACATACAATAGGCAAGAATTAACAAATGACGTCTAGTATGATAACCTCCACTCAAACATGGTGTTCTTGGTCGCAGATGTGACGCATCAATTGCCACAATGACGTCCGATTCCCTATCTTGACTTGTATTATATCATCTAGGGTTGGTTCAGGTCAGTACATGGCTTTCCTGCGCATGTGTCTGGGCACTGCTACCATCATACGACAGAAACACTCACCTTGTTGAGAGCATATATCATCACCATTTGATAGTAAACACTTGGTTTGGTTAGTAATCATAGAGTCGTAATCATGAAGTGGACTCTGATTTTAGAAGACTTCGTATGGTTGTTGATATATATATATTAGTCCAGATGATATTATGTTTGAGATACTTCACAAAATCTTGTTCTTCAACCCCCTTGTGTGGGTGTCAGAGAATCGTTTTTCACATCTTCAACGTGTGCATAGTTTACGCAATATGAACACCTTCAAATATGGTAACGTTGATAAAATATGTTTACTTTCTAATACTTCGTATTGAAAAAGACACGTGATTCGGTCAAAATACATGTGAAATCACTGAACAGCATTCAGTGAATATGGGGATCCGTGAATAAATTCGTTCTGACCAACTTAAATGGATATCGATTTATTGCTGTGATAATATCACTTAGAATGCTAATTAAAATTAATCTTCTTTGTATATTTCATTTCTGATAATTTGAAGCTTCAAGAACAAGGCGTGGTATCATCTTAACGTTACTTGGTTAGAACCGGACACGCCTCGCCTTTCATGAACAACTGGTGTCATCACTGACTCATGGACTGAGTTATTATATTGTCATCTCTACTTTGCCTTTCACGCACCGTGGAGTTTGAGGGCTATTAGAGACATATCACTCTCTGATATTGGCGTTTTTGATTTTCCCACGGTTTGTTGAAGCTTTGCAAACTGTCCATTGATCAGTCTCAAAACAACTGCACCCACTCCATCAGACAGAAAACGTGGGCTTCTAAGTAACAAGAAGTTAAAAAGTCATCAAAGAACTCCCAACGAAAATGTAAATCCCCGACCTTTTAGAGTTATAATTTCTTATATATCTTAACCAAACCCAACGTGTTCACAGTTGTGAAGCTACCTCGAGACAAATTCTTCAAGATTACATTTTCACCCAATTATATTCCTCTCAGACATTGAATCAACATAATTTGTTCCACCTATAAGAGCCACCAATTGAAGGGTCGTTCCTTAAGGGTAGATGATGATAAATATCAATCTTTTTCCGAACGTGTCCACAATAACCAGACATGTTTTATGACTACCATTGAAACTATCACAGTTAATGGCTGTAGAACAGTTGGCAAACAACATTACATGGGCAATTATGACGGATATTAGATTTTCTGGTCTGGATGGAGTTAACGATGACGGTATCAAGACTGCTTGGTTTCGGAATAGCAAATTGATGGTTGTATTTGTCAGCTAGTTTCAAGTCACTGCTTCAAGTGACTTGTAATTAATACATAAATCTTTGACAAGAAACTTGTTTAATGTCTGTTGTCCTTTAGGTAGAACCCCTTCAGATGCAAAATAACGAGTGCTGTTAACATCATATACCGTTGTCTGAGAACAAGGAAATTCGTGATGTCCAGACCAGCGCTATCTCGGCCGGACGGGTTCCTTGACCAATGTCCATTCTCCTGATAACGACTAAGGTCCGCGGCGACTGAGAGTGGAGGATAAGGATCCCTCGTTGACAAGATTGATTTATTCTCAATCACGTACTATCATTTGCAACCAAGTTAATGTTGACTTGTCTCTCATACACGAGATTGGTACTAGAGTGTTGCCTACCGGTAACATGATGAAAGGTTGTCGATGCATGACCCTAGGAGAGGAATCCTTCCGTTGAGTTTGGGTTTGAACCCAAACGTTCTCTTTGGACTATACTGTCTGTTAATATATACTAAATATATATTTCTGCATACTCTTTGTTCGTGTTTATGAACTTCTATCACAATATACGAATTAAAAGTAAGCACTAAGTTTGGTTCGTTATAACCGCAGTTCGTTTTACGCATTGCGACTAAGTAAGATATACTATATGTGGACGGGACAAAACAAACGGTTCGTAACATCCGTCAGTTCGACATAAGCGTGTCCGATATAAGCTATGTTTAGTGTACAACCAGGAATCATGTTAGAAGACACGAGTGTCCTCGCTATGATTCTTAGGAGATTGTACCACGATAACAGTCAAAATGGAATTACAAACACCGGTGTGTCGAACTTTAAGGAACTACGTTAATACTTCGAGATATCCGATACAACCGCAAAATGATGACTAAATAAGGAACACGCGGAGGCCAAGCTTTTACTTCAAGAAAACCTTAGGTTCGACACATCAATGTTCGACACAATGGTGTTTTACTGTAGATATGTATGAACCTACTACACCCAGTTCCAGTCAAGGAATCCAGTTACCGGTCCCCAGGAACTTACACTCGTTGTCATAGGATCGTGTAGTCAGACACGACCGTGAGGATGGTAGCGTTTCATCATACTAAGACAGCATTGACCTTCGTTTACAATAATAATCGTTGGTTTGTCTGGTCCAGATTTAATCAGTTATAGGCTGTCGCCATAAAGAAGGAATATTCCGCACCGACAACAAACTACACAAACAGTGTTAACCGAGGAGTGAGCCAAACGGGGTGGAACCTTACTCTTCTGGCTGACTCTCTGGAATTGGAATTACTTCTTTGGTCTCCAGTAGACGTAGATGGTTATGTTTCTGTTGACGTTTAATGGAACATTACTGCCCGTCCTCGTTCCTTCCAGCAGCCTCTTCAGTTTGAGATACACCATCAGCAATATAGACCATGGGATAGGAGTTAACGGGGATGCTACGTTCATTATTCGTTTAACCTTTTGACTAGGCTATGAGAGAATAAAGAGATGGGTCCATCTTGTATTGACCCCGTCACTAATACCTGAAATGATGCAAGCGATTCACTTAGTGAAAGCACTCAAACCGCATCAACCAATTCCCACGATGTATGTATGGGTCATACGTGGCCGTGCCGTGAAGAGGTTCCTGGTCACTCTGACCCAAACTTTACATCTAGACGTCCACTGGAGCGGTAGCGAGATATGATTAGATCACGGCAGCTCTGACTATGTCCAACTGTAGGTCTCAGGAGACAGCCATACACTGCAGCTATATATGTATTGACATTATACAACTACAAGTCTCAGTAGACAGACATGTGTAAGGGTATTGCACATTACATATCAGTGATATATGTACATGTATTGACATTATACAACTACAAGTCTCAGTCTCAGAGAGACATGTGTAAGGGTATTGACATTACACTGCAGCTATATATGTACAAGTATTCACATTGTACAACTCACGAGAGTGTTGTATGTGTACAATCTGTTTGATTGGCGTATCATAAGCTGGTGACTGACAATGTAGGCAGGATAATTTATGGATGACAACTTCCCTGGTATATTAAGTTGTCATCAACAAATTATCTTGCCAACACATGTACGGACAAGTACTGACTTTGTACAACTGCAAATCTCAGTAAGCCGATATATATGTAGATATTGAAACTTTAGCAAGACTCTGGTTATACCAAAGTTCACGCATCGCACCAATGAATGCTTCAGCCAAAGAACATCGTCTATCTATTCCGTGGTATTTGTGGCAGTTCTATGACGTTGGCGCGTTATGGGATCCTGAATATTTCATATATTCTTCAACAAAAGGAACATGCATAACGTTTACAAGTACATATACCCAATTATTGTACCTCTATACTATATCTACAGGGTGACAGTAATCAGCAGCGGCAACCCATGCTTGTCGTAACAGGCGATCGGATCGGGTGGTCAAGTTCGTTGACACATGCCAACGAATCTCAGTTGCGTAGATCGATGCTCATGCTGTTGATCACTGGATTGACTAGTCCAGACTCATTTTTTTACAGGCCTTCGCAAATAGTTGCATATTGCTGAGTTTGGCGTTAAACAACAAACAAAGAAATCATGAGCAAATATTAGTTAAATATGAGTTAAATTAAATATTCTTTCCGACATGCATTGTTGGTAAATCTGTTTCGCTCACACAAAAAATGTATTCACTTGGAACAGAAATCGCAAATATTGTATTCCTTCTGTATCAACAAGTATGCTGTATTTGCATTTGACCTTGGCATCATCTGGTGCATGTTCATCGCGATAAGCTGACAGTCAATACAAGCGCTACTATCTCTGTCAATGACGGAAATTGTGTCAGTTAATTTCTGCTGCAGAGATCATGTGTCAGACAATGTCGTCGGCACACTCCAATGGCGCATCCATCACCCCATGTTTGTACAATAAGATCTGTAGCAACACGATACATCACAGGAACATGGGCCAGCGGCGATGCCATGTTGGTAGCTCTCTGTATGGTCTCCGGTACTTGGATGGTGGTCAGTTGCCATCAATAAATAGTGCCATGGATAAGCGTGCTTCGGGTAGGCTGTGCTCAAGAAGGCTGTAGATGACGCAATGATGAATTGCCCCAAACCTGGCCCCGATTTCTCAAAACAAACTTAAGTTTGAGGTTTTACTTAAGTTAAAGTTTTTAACTCAACTTTGAGAAAATGCAAGAAAAACCATTTCCCTGAATAAACTGAATTGATATTTAACTGAAATATAGTAGACAAGTTATGTTTGGTAGACAGGTTACTTAAGTTGTTTTGGCTTTTTGATTTTAGAGATACAGTTGAGTTAGAAATTCAGCTGTTTCAAATTGTCACACTCAGTTTCAAATTTGACTAATTATTTAAGTTTGTTTCCAGAAATCGGAGCCTGGTGTCCTCGCCAACGAGTCTATATTGTTCTGATAGGAATTTGAGATATTTGAGTTAATATAATTGAATGGAGAAATGGAGAATGCAAAGTTAAACACACACAAAAAATGAACTCGGACTTTTACCATTCTTAGAGATAATACAGTCTTCATCGGAAATTGTTTGAATGAAGTGAGAAGCCGAGGTCTATTTTAGGATGCAGTTTGAATTAGATGTCCTTTGGGAACTTTCAAACTGTAAAAGTCACATCCAGAATTGTTTCCATGTAGCGACTAATTGGTACCGGTTTATATTCAATATTAAGTACTGTTGTCCATCAAAGACTGGAACATAAAGCGATTTAGCTTTGTTAATGTTTTTGTAAATGCGGGTTAATTACGCCCAGTTTCCCTGTAATTTAACGTGATAGAAATACACGCAAATGCTGCAAGTACAGCGACACACCACATTGACCCCAATGAGAACGGATCCTACAGTACATTACACATGTGATGAAGCCGAAGTCCAGAAATCAAGATCCAAAGTGGAGTTGACCGTTCCCCTGTGTAAGGATTGTTAAGTACAGATTCACGACCGTGCTCTCATAATTTAACAACGCTAATCCCCTTTCCGGATAATCCAAACAGTATAGCAGCTGATTATCAAGCATACATATAGTAGCATCCGCCTTGACCCCGGATTTCGTTTACAACAATACCAAAGTAATTAATAGAGCGGGACAAAGAGCATCTCCCTGGAGTACTCCGAACACCCATTGACCATGTTGTATTATGTTGCTTACGATTGTCAGCGTATGTGCCACTATCCTTTGGGATTTACGACAAACACGGCTTAATGAACAACCTACGCATGATCGTAGCTGTGTCACAAGCAATGCCTTCTTGATGGAACCAGTTTCGGCTCAGTAGGTATCCCAGCACAGCCTGCATTGAGGCGGCTAACGAGCAATTCTCTAGCGCCCTTGTGAGGCCTCTAATTAAACATCTCTTGACTCCTCCAAATGACAGTCGGTGGTCCTCTAACACAGCTCAGTTTAGGCATGGGCGAAGTTGATGACAGGGTACCCAGCTCTTGAAAGCAGGCTCGATTTGATTTCATGACTACTTCTCTGTCAGACAGAAAGTCTGATTTAGTAAATGGGTTTTGAATCTACTTTTGTAAAATAGCTACTTCTCAATTTCAAGAAAGTAATGTACCGCTTGAGTGAAGAGCTTTGAGACAGTTATTACCAATCGGGGAGTGTTGTTAAGAGTCCCTGTATCAGCACATAGTGGTTGATTTTTTCTAATTAACAGGAACTCAACCAAAGTCCATCAGTATGTACAGCACATGTGATGTCCTTGTCTCTGTAACTGGTGTGGTATTTCGTTCACGTGTCTGTTGACCTCTTGAGATTACAAAGCGGTTGTATGAGCTAAGGTGACACAGCCCTCCCAGTCTGAGGACGGTATTTATGCTATACTATTCGCATGAGCACGTGCCATTGTGACCTTTGTATACGTAGTCCTTGGAACAGCATAAACGTTTTTACGACAACGCATTATTTGAATGGCTTAGCGCTGTGTTAAGTAGCATGTGGAGATTATTAAAAGATTATATTGAAGATGGAGAGTTTTGTGGAACTTGTGTTCCAGAACGAAGTTCGATCGTTAATTATACGTGTGATGAGAGGGTTAGAGGGTGATTGGACGAGTGAGTGAGTGAATGATTGCTTGAGCAAGAGATGGAGTGAGTTTCGAGTGAGTGAGTGAGCGAGTGAGTGAATTGGGTTTAAAACTGCATTCGTTACAAATATATCATTGCGTGTCAGCAAATATGGAAGGAAACTAAAGATTATGCACATCTCAGTCATGTACCATTTCGATGACGTAGGTTGGTCACAAACTTAGCATTAAAATATGGGGAAATCTGGGTTCGAAACCATGAAGTTTGGATTCTGGCTCCTATCATTATCGGAGCACGGAATGTCGAAGCGACGCAACTCCGCATATAATTTCGTCGCCATAGTTCGAACCAAATACCTTAGTATATAATATTCTGATGTAAGATGTAAATGAATCTATGAAGACGATATCACTCGAGTGCCTATTTTCGCAAATCGAGTTTTATATGCATATACATCTGAACGTCTATCAATCAAGTGAATTAACCATGCTTTAGTGTTGAGCATATAGACCAGAACCTAGGAACAAAATATGCCGAATGATTTATCACAAAGTGACTGTCTCTCCAGTTCAATCAAGGGAGATTTAATCGTCTCAGCCTGTAATGGTGTTTCAGTAAGTTATCCAACACTGTGGGATAACATAGTTTGTTTTCTGGGACACGCAGTTTCCCCATCCAATCTGGACGGTTGGTCCATGATCTGATTACCCCAGTACCTCATTCTCTATCATCCTTATCCAGAGTAACTGCAGCGCCTAGGTGTGGGTTAAGAGCGAGTTTTACACGTTGTGTGTTTACCGGATTGCGTCAAACGCCCATTGAGTCAACGTTGACAGTTCTATTGGGAGACTTTGTTGACACAGAGTGTTCGTTTACAACTCCATTATAGTTAGAAATTAATTACTCAAATGCTTTCAAGGATGAGTTTTTTAAGTCTGTTTTGGCCCCCGAAACGACAGCTTTGTTGAGCGTAACTCATGTTCTGTCTCAGCCTTGATTCATTGTTCGTGCTTACAAGACAAGTCACCGCAGGGAACATGTCGAAAATGCCCAATTACAAAGTCCACGTCCTGTAATTGGTTCCTTCGTGTTGGAACATAGCCACGAGGAACGGGGTCAGTTTTGATGAAATAGCTAACTGCCTACACACGATTTAATTGCCGTAACAATCTTAGAACCGCGAGAACTGACATCGTTCGAAAGTAAAATATTTAATATCAGTCTAGATTAAACTCACAATTCCGAACGCTGATCATTGAACGTTTGTTGGCGGTTCCTTGCCTCTGTGCTGTCGCTGAATCAAAATGGCGGTAGCCCCCAGATCATCTTCCAATCAGTAGCAGACGGATCAACACATGGTGCAGATAAACAAAGTCTGTCTGACTGAGATAACTGAACTCTCATCCCTGTTGATCCATGCTCGACCTCGAGCAATAGAGAAAATACTTCATCTCATATCCAAGGCGTCTTTATAATACAAGCTACGTAGGAAAATTGGAAAAGACTGGATTAGAAATTACTGTGTTTTGTGGTTAACATTTGATAGTAGTAGTTGGAGAACAGCGGTCAAAATGTTTCAGTTACAGAAGAGACTAACTGGCGGTTCGTTAAGAAACGTCGGTCCCCGCAGACAGGAGGCCATTCATATTCAGGAGCCTACAGTTGCGAGTATGTTCTCCTAAATCACACACTCTCGTTAAGACTTGACAAAACGGTTCTTTTTGGAAGCTTTCTTAAAACTGTTCCCGATTTCCATTCCTGATCACAATACACGTTCACAAAGTCCGCCGTTACATTCGTGAGAAGTTGTAGATCATTTAACACACCATTTGATATTGTGTAGGGTTTGGGTGAGAAACCAATCTGTCTCTATGAAAAAAAAAAAGAATAAAAATCCTTCAGATTGTTGCAAGATAAAATGAAAATATGCCTAGGTTCAAAGTTGCATTGTTTCAATGTTGAAAAACAACAATATACAAAATTCCAGCCTGCCCTACGACACAAATCTAATAAAATCATACTTCCTTGACATGGGTCACCCTTGTAAATGTGACAATCAGTTCAAATTCACAAGCTCGACTCGCCCATGATATAGGAGCGGAGGGGTAGCCTAGTGGCTAAAGCGCTCGCTCGTCCCGGGTTCGATTCCCCACATGGGTACAAATGTGTGAAGCCAATGTCTGGTGTTCCATGCCGTGATATTGCTTGAATATTGCTGAACGTGACGTGAAACCATACTCACTCACTCACTACACATGCGATACACATATTGTATGTTCAATTCTCATTTTATCTCTGTTATTTTGTATAAACCAAACTTTAAGTCATAATAAAGACTGGTTTCACTAGGAGCTATGATCAGCGATAATACTATATACCATGCTGTGTTTGACTGCCGTCGTCATCCTGGTGCATCCTGTGTTGGAACTCTATAGTAGTTGAGCCGCTAAGAATCAACGCTATTATTTCCGGCCATGTCAGGGCAAAAAGTATAGGAACTAAAATCGGTATTCGTGCCTCATAACGTGTATCAAGCACCGTTGTTACCTCATTACAACCCGTATTGTCCATTCCTGATAGACCGTGCGGTCTCCTCCACTATGTTTGTGTGTGAGAACAATGTGTCATCAAAACACACGCATGCTTCGGGAGTGTTAAATTCAGGATCGCCATTCCAGCAAATACGAAAACGAACTAAGAATGAGACTTTGCGTTAGTATTAGTGATCTGTAACGCAGAACTTATAGCACGGAGAAGTTGTGTTAGTTTAGCACGTGAGGTGATGTTTATAAAGGCAACAGCTGATAATCAATCAGATTCTCGTTGCACCGTTTTGTTAAAGCACTGAGACAGTGAGGCTACACTGTTTATTCATAGTCTTAACCGATAGGGTTGGTTATGTGAAGATGATATTTAGATCGTTGTGGATGTTTGAATCAATCATTATGATTTGACATCAAATCTAGCATATTTACTGGAGGCGCCCTTACACAGACATACACATTGAACCTTTAATTTGCACTTTATACAACATAGGCTGTATTTTGTGCGTCTGGGCGGTATATTCCGTATTTTCATTTAAAGCATCATCATCGATTAGTTATGCATGATGCAATATTGTGTAAGATGGTGACTGCGACGATGATGACGATG